ACAATATGTAACAAAATTAAAAAGTAGCTGAACTTGGAATGTCACAGAGCACAAATTGTGGGTCTAAATGTGTAATAAAAAACTGAATACTCAAAACCCCAAATATACCCCCAAAATCTGGGATTTACTGTCAAAAACCATTTTTCTGAAGTCAAATTAGCATTTCTTAACCGATCCTTAATTTCTGCTGAAGAGGTTTTAAATACGCTCATAACGATATATGTATGTATTTTCAGTTTGGCGTTACGTGACCCTTGTTTGACAACGACCGTAGAGCTACGGTAAAAATTACCGTAGACCTGTGGTAAAATTACGTGGATAATGTGTTGCCGGAGAAGTGGGGCAGAACTTCTTTATACGTAGGCGGCCTTCAGTCGCGCTTAGGGATTATAACCCTTACTACTCAGAATTCTCCTTTCTGTGTTGCCGGAGAAGTGGGACAGAACTTCTTTCGGCGTAATTTTTACCGTGGATCCACGGTAAAGTTACCGTGGCGCGTGTAAGTAGACACTCCCAAAAATTTAAGATTATCGTTAATTTCTTCATGATCTAATGATCGGATTTAAATCGCCTGTGAGGTAACACATTTCCTTTGAAAAAAAGAATTATAGAAATCGGTTAACGTGGTCCAAAGTTATGCGGTAATATACATTAAATATATATATGTATGTATATATTCCGACGAATTGATAACCTTCTCCTTTTTTAAAAGTCGGCTAAAAAGAATAATTCTTTTTCTATCGGAAAGGTTGGTCACATTATAATTTGGTTTAGATACGATCTATAGAGCCGGTTGTTTTTTGTTAAAAAATTACTTGTTGAAACTATATTCAATTGCGAATAGTATGTAGTCCCACCATTTATTAATCCTCTTTTCAGCAAGATATAAAAATTGAAGATTGATCGGTAACATTTTTTCTTTTCATATATGTAAGTAATATTATTGGGACATACCTTTAGTAACTTCATAAAATAGGCGGAACAGAATTTAGCGCAAAACACATTTCCAACATGCATTGTTTTAAACACGGATGCGGGTACACAACATCTTCAACCCTAATTGCCAATTGCAACCGCTTCAATACCAAGTGCCAATAACAAAAGCATTGTCAGGGGGGCGGGAGAACGTCACGGCAGTTCGCTGCAGCCAGTCTGACAGTATTGGAAACTTGTGCTTGTGTATGTTAATTCGCGTGCGCGTAATTGAAAGTGAATTTGTCAATTTGATGGATTCGGCTCCAATTGAAAGCCAACCGAATGAAGTGCCGAAGTGCATAACAAAAGGGTGCATACACGGAGAATGCAACTAAAAACGAAAATAAAATGTGAAGGGTATATAATTGGCTGGTTCACAAAGTGCATTAGTAATTATGTATATACCATGCAAGATGTGTGTAGACCAGCAGGAAATAATAATTACGAAGAGGACACATAGGCCAAAGCGGACAAAATATAAATAAAAACAAAAATAGAAAAAAGAAAATTGTAGAAGATGCCATCAAACCAGAATATGATCCCACCGAGACTGCCATACCTATGCCACACAGTGTAGATGACGGCAACAGCAGTAAGTAGTGGTGTTGGCAAGAGCTAACCAGGCAGCAAGACAGCCGGCCACACCTATTCGAGCGGAGCAATCACACGAAAAATTATTGAGCTGCAAATGTGCAGCAAGCTCGAACTGACACAGTAGGCGAGAGCGGGTGAATGCAAATCGAGCTGCGACAATGGAATCTCATAAACTTCGAATATAATTTGCCAAGATATCGAGAAGTCACGCTTGCACAGCCACAATGCATTCTTGCGATCTTCAAGAGCAAACAAACAACTCACATATGTACATATGTACATACGAATACATATGCATTTTCAAAGTTTTTAAAAAGGCAGTTCAAAATCTCTTCCAAGAGGTCTGATTCATTCTTTATTAAAGCTTAAAATGTTTTTAGTTGAAAGTTTCTGGAGAGTATACGATACCAGTAAATACTGGTTACTAACCTTCAATGCATTCAAATCGATATCATCCAATGAGCAGTTCACAGATGGGGCAAGTTGCTGCTGGTGCGCCATTTTGATTTGCTATTTTCTGTTGTTTCCTTTCTTTTTGCGTTTTGTTGTTTGTTCACTTCCCTGCCTTTTAAAGTAATAATTCTTTTATTTTTATTTTATACTTGTCTTTTGTTACTGTTATTCACTTTGTATATTTCATTTGATTTTATTCTATTTGTGTATTTCACTTTATCTCGCACTTTGCACTTTTTGCTTCACTTCATTTTCTGTTCTTCTCTTTCTTTATTACATTTCTTGTTAGTTTAATCACTTTATATCTACTTCTTTATTATCTTTGTTGTATTTGTGTTGGAATCTTTCAAAAAGTTTCTAAATGCGAAAAAATTGTATTATTTTAATATATCTTATATGTTGTATATATGTATGTATTTACATGCATCTCCTCATTCACGATAAGGAACAGAAGAAACTGGTTTGTCGAGAAATTTTAATCTAAAAATTCTATTTCGATTTTCCACCTTTTTTGGGGTGGGGAACAGCAGCAACAGCGGCTTCTCTCTTTTTGCTTTAGAGTACTTCTTTTTAGTTTTGCTGCTTTCACTATTCTCCTCCTAATCTTCTCACGAATTTTTCATTTTTTACAGACTTTTTTCTTTGCTTTATGCTCTAGTAAAAATTTCTTTTAAAAATTAGCAATTTTCCACGTCTCAGCCATTTGGGAGGTGGCACTGGAGCTGATGGAAACGATGACGGCAGCAACCAACAACCACACAAATCGAATGGAGTTTGGAGCAGATACGTTGTTGTTGCTCGCGCTACCGCTGAAGTATTTATTGGTAGTGTTGTTGTTGCCGCCGTTATTGGTAGCGGCTGCGGCAGGTAGACAACTGAAAAGTGCCACAAGAAAAATAAGTGAAATTTTCTATTTCATCCGACGCGACGAATATTAGCACAACGTTTTTATATTAATTTCTGCTGCGACGCGTCAATTGCACTCAGTAAATTAAAAGTTTTCCACCGCCTGCACTTTTCCACATAAGTTCCGGTTTGTAATTTTTTCTCTCAATTAAGAAAAAAACCAATTTAAAAAGACTTTTCCTCCACGCCCGATTCCTTATTATCTCATGAACAAATGAAGAATGAATGAAAATTTCGTTGGTCGAGTTCGGTGTTGGTCGGCGCAGCGAAACAGACTGATGGCGAAGAATGAGTGGAAGAGCAGGAAAGTACGAAGACAGATATGGCGACATCTGTGAGTGATATTTAAAACACAACTATTTGCGGATGAGGCAAGTTGGTAGTAGTGCTTATAAAAGATTAGACGAAAAATGAAAACATAAATATCGGAGTGCGAAAACTTAAAATAAATTATGCACAAACTCGTATATTTTGGTAGAAAATTGAGTGGACGTAGAAAGTCGAATTACTTCTGCAAATGCTGCTACTCATAGCATTTTTGCTATCTTCTAATTGATTTACGTTCTTTGGCCACAGGAAACAGGAACTCTGTCAAAATTGTTTAAAAAGATATGGCATTACTGTTTTGATTTAGCGATGGAAAGAGGAAGGAAATTGTGATTTTATTTGGATGGTTAATTGATCTGGTAAGACGGAAGCAGCTTGAAAATTTACGAATGGCTTCAATAGATTTAACAGAGTGTAAAGGCAGACTTTCAAATCGGCTTCAAACATTTTGTAAAGATTCTTATTAAAAAGCTTGAAATGTTGGTTAAATTTGCAGAATCTTTATAATTTTACGATAAAGTTTGAAATATAGATTTATATGGTGTTTGTTGTAAAACCAGCTGATAGATAAATTTTATAAAAAAATAATAAACATAAAAAAGACAAATAGCCAAATCTGGTCAAAATATCGCACTCCTATTATTTTGTCGACCACTATACATTTGTAAATCCAATCTGCATTCTTTTCATTATAAATATGTAGTCCGAATTTCGGAGGATTTAGGAAGTAACTTTAAATTACTAAAAAAATTTCGGAGGATACGAAAAACCAATAATCTCAGTAGACACAAATGGAATCGAGTGTGTATGAAATTTATAGAATGGCCTTAAGTGTTAATCAATTGACAATTCTGAAGACATTTAGTAGAGGAAATTAGGGGCTATCAACTATAAACTCCTTGAAAAGTATTTAATCGGATTCCTCAAGCCAAAACCAACAGAGAAAAGTGCGACTCTTCTCTCAACGTAGCGCAAAAAACACAATTTGAAAAATAAGTATATGCAATTGCAATTAAATATTTTAAATTATAGGTAATTTATGCGCAAATCTAAGTTTCGCTGAACAATTGCACGCCAAGTTAACTTTTCTAGTTATTATTGCGACCCCCAAGTGAGACATTCACAATTTGCTCAGTTTTACCCTTTTCACATAAGATAGGCAACACTTAAATCCTAATAATCATTAAATCTGACGTTATGTTTAAACTTGTTTTTTTCTTCTTCGTTGTTTATGAGCACTTTTTGTCCCCAACTGCTCCACCGCGTTGTTTGCTTATGTGTGGCGCGGCTTAGCGCGGAGATCAGCGCCATTAAAAGTAGTTCTCGCCAACAAAATCCGGTCGCAGTTTCATTTCAGTTTTGAGTTGGCATCCGTCGCGAACGAACGTGAGTTTTTTGGATTGCGGACAGCGCGAATAATTAAATCGATTTTGGAGAATTGGAGAAGTATACATACATAGTCGATGAAGAGAGAAATATTCAAAGCATATTATATCGTGTATTAGGGTACAAAAACAAATTGAGAAAAAGCCCGGTTTATTCTTGCCACGGAAAGCTAATGAAATTTTAATATGTATTTAAGTAATAAGTCAATAAGTCGAGTGTATAAACCTTTAATTATGAATTGCAAGTAAAAACGTAGGCTAATTGGAAAGCCAAGCATAGCGAGGGACTTAAGCGAGAGTCTTACGGAGCCCCCAAGTGTTTTCGAATTGCTAAAATTTAACTGTGTGGATATGTATGTATTTTCAATTGACTGCGCCAAGAGCGCTGCTCAAAAACTAGTTTTAAGCGCACGCGGCGCAAAGCGGCAGGGACGACGACTGAGCGTGAGTTGAGCGAAGAAGAGCAGCTCCATATACTGGAATTTGTTGTAAACGCTGGCGTTTCGTGGCCGGCGCGGCGGGCTCTGCTTTTTGCCAGCTTAACTGGCGCTGCTGCGGTCAAAGCAGCTACATATGTACATACATACATATGCACATACATATATATTGCATTGTAAACAAGAAACGAAGGAGCAACACGGCATAGGAAAACGAAATAGTAAATACTGCAGCAGTCAGCAAAAAGTCAGGTAACTGCGCAGCAAGCAACGCTGAGCAATATTGGCTTTAACAACGACGCAGCTGCGCGTCATCAGGAAAATAAAAACAAAAGCGGAAACAGAGCCCGACGAAGCAGAGTCACAGAGACCGGCAGCAGCAGTAGCGTAGCGTAGCGCAGCAACAACGCCGCAGAAAACATTCTCTTCTTTGCCGTCGTGGAGTTAACAACGTATTATTTCTGGTTCAAGAGCGTCGTCGTGTTGAAAAATTCCAAATTTGCAGTGTTTTTCGGGTTTAGTGTTTTGAATTATTTTGCATACATATAAATAATACAAATCATTTAAACTGAAATTGTTTGTGTTACACAAGTGCCAATTGTAGTTCAAATTGGTCGGTGANGCATACATATAAATAATACAAATTATTTAAACTGAAATTGTGTTACACAAGTGCCAATTGTAATTTCAAATTGGTCGGTGAAGGTACTTAAATACTCGCATACCTACAAACGTATTCACACAAATACAAATGTTCTGTGAATAAGTGAAATTCATAGTTACCCGCCATCTTGCATTTCCGCCGTGTTGTGCCATTTACCAGTTGCTTGCTATTTTTGCTACTGTGTAAAGTCAATGACAAAAAAAGTGGATCGCCAGAAGTCTTTGCGAACAAAGCGATACGCGTTAAAAAATATAGCGAAAGAACAGACTGACCGAAGATTCGAAGCTAGATGCGAAAAGTCACTTAAACCTAAAAATATCAAAAACAAGTTTTGTTAAAAATGCAGTTTTGTATGCGCAGAAATATGTATATTTTTTACTTTTAATAGCTGGTTTACCATAGCTGCGTTTATAAAACGAGGCAAAGGTAAAAAACAAAAAACAAGAGGAATTTTCAGGTCCTTAATAAATTTATTAATCAAAATATTCAGATTTTTTTTTTGTTGCATTTAAAAACATCTCGTTTGCGGTTTTATTATTGCAAATGTGCTTAGTATGTAAGTATGTATTTTCCATATTTCGCGAACCGTCCATGTTGGCGCTCCGCTTTGGGGGAAGCAGGTTAAAAATTCCTCAAGCTGTCTACTTGTCGACTGGCTTTTCTGGCTGTTTCGCTATGTGGCATGGCACCGCTCGGTGGAAAAATAATAGCAACATCGCGTTGTAAGCTATCGGTCGCGTGTTTATGAAACTTGCTCCATGTTGTGTGCCACTTTCGGCTGAAAACATTGCAGATTGCAAGCTAAACTTTCGATTTAAGTCCGATTGCATAGCGATCTTGCTGCACTAAAGTGGTGAAAATAGCTTATGGCTTCTATGCAAAGTAGATTTTGTTTCGAAAGGAAAGCTGTGTAATAAAAAATTGGAAATTAATCGCTATTTTGTGAATTAATGGCTATTGTTGTATAGAATTACAGATGAAGTTGTAGCGCGAAAGTAAACTCCGTTATATACATACATACATACATATGTACATACATACATACATAGATATATGCAGCTATGTATGCATACATTTGTATGTAGTATGTACCTGAGGGTGGTCCTTAAGAAATCAAATTAACGATTTTTTTCAGTCTCATACCCTCAATCGATAATGACTCGGTCACAGATATCACATTTAAATTTTGGTCCCGATTGCAGTCGGTTATGGACTCCAGATATTAAAAAAATATATTTTTTTCATTTCGGTACGACTAAAGTCAAGGAAATTACATAAAAATTTTGGTCCCGATTGGAGTCTGTTAAGACGTGTTCATAAGGTAATCTGAACTTTGACCCCTGTGCGACACGCCTTGACCGTCTCCAATCGGGACCAAAATTTATATGTGATATCTCCGACTACAGTAGCATCGAGGCAGGGGTTGAGGCTTAAGAAATTTGAGTTGAGACTTAAGAAATTTGAGTAATAAATGTGCTTCCTATATTTAAGGACCACCTTAATGTACTTACATACTAAGTATGCACATATGTAATTGAAACTGCTAATAGAAAAGGGGTATTGGAGTTGCTTTAACAACATTCAGCAGCTCAAAAACAATAACAACAACAATATAACCACAACCACTACCAAGTGGTGAGCCACCAAGATCGGTAAGCTCCACCACACCAAAGGCAATATAAAACAAAAACCATAGCCGAAGAAAATAGTGAAAACGCGTTCAGAAGAGGAGGTACATAGTAATAGAAGATATGTATGCACATACATATAAACGAAGAAGATCGAAATAAGGAACATCAAAGCAAGAGAAGCATGTACATACATGCCTACATATAGATAAAGTTAAATAACACACTAGAAAAAACTGTGAGCACGAGAAAATATAAAAAATCTCGTTTTTCGGGTCCGTCTTAAATAAATTCTTTTCACTGATTTAACAACCCGTTCGCTTGCTTCTACGTTTCCAAGGTAATTTCTTGATCAATTGTTATTCCGTTTCCAGCAGCACACGTTCGGTTGGCTAACTTCTTACTTGCCGGTTTTACTACATAAACACATACAGACACATTTGAATGTTTGTATGTACGTACTTTTGAGCAACGTCGGCGAAAAGGTAGAAAACGAAATACGCAAAACAGAAAAAAAAACAAATAAATAAAATTATAAGAAGAAAGAAACAACCAAAATTCAAAATCACTAGCAATAATAAAAAATAAAAGCAGCAACAACAAGTGAATTTTTTGAGCGCCCATTGCCTGCAGTTAGCTTGTCTGCAGCATCTCAACTTGACCTTTTTGGGTATATTCGTTTTAAGCCACAACAACAACAATAACCAGCATTTGGCCGCCAGTAGCTATTAGCACAAGTGAAGCCAGTTAGAAAGTTACCAGTAGCACAACAGCAGTGACTATTCACTAATAAATTTATTTCTGCCCCCCCACACGGATTAAAATAAAACCTTCACGCTGGATTTGGGATACTACGAAGCTGTTAAAGGTAAGAAATTACAATTCAAATTCATTTGTAGATCTTAAGTAATTTGATTCCTAGAGAGAAAATGATATATGTACACACATACATATATACATATGTATGTACATATCGTCGCCTGGATAAAATATTGTCGTATGTTACTTTCGGCAGGTTTTGGGAAATTGCGATTGAAGTTTCGAATGCAATTTCTTAAAAACTCGAAGATAGATTTTCTCCAAGCCCCAGAGAATGTTACTAGCTCACACAATTCTAGAATTATTTTATTTTTATTGTTTATTTTTAATTAGTTTTGAGTTTATGAAGCATTTTCGTTATTCATCAATTTTGCAGAGACTTTTTGTGTTGGCCGTATTGTAAAAAATTCGTTGTACCTGAACTTTATTGACTGACTGTATATTCAACTTTTTTAGGGGCCAATTTGGCTGCCAGTTTTGGCTTTATTTCCTTCGTTTATTTAATGTTTATATTTTTTTTATAAAAGTCTAACACATAAAATAACCAGCACCACATATGTATGTAAATCCTCATTTCACACTTCGTACAAAAGTTATAAAAATTCAACAGACTTTAACCATCACAGCCAAAAATGTTAGACTTTTTAATCAGAATATTTAAAGTAGGTATGACGTTTTATATCCCATTATCCCATTTTAGTAACGTAACGTCATGTAACATCACGTCATATTCTTCTTTTTCTTCTTCTTCTTCTTGGGCCGAGACCAAAAAGCTTCTCCAATCGCCTCTCTCCTGTGCGAATTTGCGTCTGTACTTCGTAGGCGCCCTTGCTTTCATTGTCCACCCATGGGTGCAGAGTCGAAGGATCTTTTCACCGGAGCTTCGTCATCCATGCGTACAATACAACCTAGCCAGCGCAATCGCTGTATCCTTTGATCTTGCGTATAATAGTTCTATCGAAAGCCCACAAAGCCGTCTGATCTTTGTTCGACATCGTCCACGTTTCTGCGCCGTATAAAAGGACGGGCATGCTGAGAGATATGTAGATTTGTAGAGCATTCATTTCCAAAGTAGCAACTGTTGGCAAGAGTTATTCTTCGCTTCATCTCCAGGCTGATTAAGATTTTGCGACACTTAACACGCCTTGTGAATCCCCAAATTGTATTTCGTATTCTACAAAACATTAGATACAGTTAACAGATTTAGGGCCGTTTTTCCAAGTAGTAAATCGAAAAAGCAACGGCAGTGTGGAAAATGAGTTGTTTATAGAAATTCACTGCTGTCAAAGTTTACAGTGTAAATATGTGTTGTAGTAACAACCAACAGAAAATGCAAAACTTCCAGCTAACAGACAAGATGTTGTCTAACAGCAGCCAGACGAGAGTCACTCAACTAGACGGCCGCGCCTTTCACTGCGCTTTTTGTATATGGCCACAATGTGCGAAACGGAGCGTAGCGCCCAAGATCGCATTCTATTATTTAGCATTGTGTTTGCACCAGAATAATGGACAAAAATGCGCAAACTCCGTACATGCATACATACATACATACATATGTATGTAAACATTAGCATTGTTGTTCTTAACTGTTTTTGAGCGTAAAAAATAAAAGGAAACTAAAATCTATTTTGCGGATCAAATGAGATGAGAGGGCCGTAGATACCTTAACAGCCAACTCGCACAAAAGCCTGCGCTGCCAAGCGTATCTTAGAAGGCGCAAGGGAACACGATTACCGGCCTGAGAGAAATAGCAGAGCAGCTAAACAAATCTCCAACTTAGTGTAAATTCTGACAAGCGCCTCACTGGGCCATACAGGCTTAGCCTACATAGTTAATATGACTATTTACATATGTATGCATGTCTGTATATATGTAAGTATGTGTGTCAGTCGAGTATATAGATTTTTACTTATGTACATATGTATGTATTAGGAATGTTAATCCCGGAATCCAGGGATCCCGGCCTTTTTAGGGTCCTCCTTTTCTTGACCAGTATTGGCTATATTTATTTTTCTATTTAATAACTAGATGCGATTGACGACTAAACAGGTTGAAACCCTCAACCCCACTCAAACAAAAAAAAATTATTGCACATGCAGAGACCATATCCTTTCGTTTGGTACCTCAGTTTTCAGTCCAACAAACGAAGAAGACCTTATAATATTTAAAAAGTGGCAACTCTACTCAAAAAGTAATACATTATTGAACATCTAAAAGCCAAGCCCTTTTATTTTTTTTATTTATCCAACGAACGGTGAAAATCTTTTAACTTTTTAATAGGTGGAAACCCTACTCAGAAAAATAATACATTATTGCACATGTAGAGGCTAAGTCTTTTCGTTTGACAGTGACGGTGCAGAACTGATGCCTACGCTTATTAGGATTGAATATAGTAATTTTATTAACATGCGGCAACCCTATTAAAAAAAACATTAGTGCTTTTCTAGAAGCCAATCCCTTTCATTTGACACCTCATCTTTTGTAATCCAACGAACGGTGCGGATCTTATAGTTTTTTAGATAGGTGGCAACCCTATTAAAATTCTAAGTAGAAAAAGTTCACTCTACTGTCGATACAGAGTATATTAGAGAAAATCTCGTCAAAATCCGTTCAGTAGTTTTCGAGAATACTGCGTACAAAGAATATCGAACATCACGCGATATTAAATTTTAAACACAAATATCAATATATTCACGAAAAGATCGACCAAATACAGTAAACTTGCATTTTATAGTTTCATTCTGACGTCAGTAATTCAAAAATGATTTTAAAAAAATTCTGAGAAATAGGCTTAGAGAAGAAGTGTGGGTATCAAATTAAAGAGGAAATCCTGTAGAATTTAAACAGATTCAAGTTTTTGGTGCAGAAGGACTGGTAAATATTGAAAATGTCATTTTAAAATTGTATGCTTGAAATTTCGCAATATATGTTTTTGAAAAAATTACATGTTAAGGACTTATATAAACTCGATAACATCCTCGAATTTCGTCCTTCTAACTTCATCAGCTTAAAAAATACCTATTCGGCCTTGTGAATCCAAAAAATTTTATTTTTTTTAATTCTAAAGAAATTTCCTCTTGCCTTTGGTACCCATATTTTAATTCTACGTTGCCTTGAATTTTTTAAATAATTTTTGGAATTATTCATATCTTTGAAATTACAAAGTTCTTTAAAGTAAATCCAGACGTCAGAGGGAAAATAAATACAAACGCCACTTTAAGTAAAAAAGTAGGGTTTCACACTCCTTTATTTTTTTTGTTATTTTTGGAAGGAGAGCCTCTCAAACAATATAGCAGCAATTTTTTCGATAAGTTGTTGAAAAGTAATGAATATCTAAATCCCCGGACTAATGCCGGGATTGTGATAACGACATCCCGAAAATCCCGGGATCGTAAAAAGCGAAAAAATTAACATCGCTAGTACATGCATATGTACATACATATGTACTTACATACGCATATTATGTAAATATGGCATCATATCATCCATCAGTCATTCACATAGCCAGCAGCGCGCTCGGTCACATGTAGCGCAACACCTGTGACTGACTTACTGGCTGGACGTTGGAGACACCTTGCTCCACCGCCACGGCTGTAGTCGTTGGCTCACTAAACGGGGTCTTGGCTGCGTGCCGCTTGTGTGGTGCCCTGCTGCTTCGCGACGTGCAATTATGAGGTTTCCACGATACTTTTGTTACTGTTAATTCTCTGCCAACTGGCCAACTGGCCAACCGTCGCTCGGCGGGTTGGGCGCGGATTCTTGTGTGCTGGTGGCTGAATGTCACTTCCACCGCATTCCGAACAGCCCAACAGCCAGCAAAAGAAAAACATACAACCAAAGAAACGAGTATTTGTGTGATGCCAGTTAACCAAACACAATACTGAATTCGAAACCAGCAACAGCACCAACAAATACGCAACGCAACACCAGCACCACCAGAAAATGTTTTTGTTGTTGGTGTGCGCCAAGCGGTTACCAAACAACCAACCAACCAACAGACCAAGCAACCACATGAATGCTTGCCTCTCAACACTTTTTGTATTTTAACTCTGACTTGGTTGAGCCAGCCAGAGCTGCCCTGATCGGTGGTAGTGCAAGCTGCTGTTGGACGGCTGTATTTATTTTATTACTTTGGTACACGCAATTATGATTGCTATCTGGGGTACACTGAATTGTCAAAAAAATAATAATAAAACGAATAAGACCCTCAACGAGCATCACACAAATGAACTGAAGAATTGTGCGATTTGTGGAGTTTGGCGCAGGTGAAGTGGCTTTTAATGCGATTATGCAACATTCGCAAAAGTGTTAATGGTATGGTGTCTATTTTATGTTGTATAATATAGTTATTTGTGTTCAATTAGAGCAATTATACTGAAAGCGAATCTGATGCGATAGAACCCGTTCGCAAATACATACATACATATGTACATACATACGTATGTATGCATGTGCAGAAAGTTGAGATTATAAATATGCCTTACATATATGTATATGTATGCATCTGTGGAGTTTTGACAAAACAACTTCTCTCGAATGAGCTTATTTTCTCTTCAAAGCAATTATTTAGTAGGGGTATTCACGATCCGGTGCATAGATAGCATAAATAGCACAATTGGATAATTTTGTTGTTGTTTAATGTGTTCAAACAACAACAAAATTAGCCAATCATATATTTTCTATTGAGTTCTCGAAATATATTTTTATGTTTAG